AAGTAAAAGAGTTTGACATGAATAAATGTTTGAACAATCAAAGAAAAATACAACTTGAAAATTCGAATGAACAAAAGCTTCTTAGTTTGCAATAGTCATCTCAGATGGAAGATTCTCAGCAGAAGATTTTCATTTTGCCACCCGGCATGAACTCCAGCACCCTTCCGTCGATCAAGTCCTGTATCTTGTTCCTCAAGCTCCAACAGTCGTCAGTGTCATGTCCAGGACTGTCAGAATGGTAGGCACACCTTTCATCAGGATTGTACTTCAGGGAGGTTATGTTGAGATTCTTAGGAGGATCTTTTAAAGCAATCAGCTTGACCTCCAACAAGCGTCTCAGTATCAGTGATGATGGTATACCATTCTCCGAGAGATGTCTTCCAGACGTATTTCACTTACGCCGATTACCCTGTTGACGCTGGTGAGATTGATGCTGGGCTTGTGACCCTGAAGCAAACTGAGGAGCTTTTCCCTTGTCTTCTTGCACCACAAGTGGTTGAATGATGGCTTGCTCTTAAACCTTAGATGTTTGCCCCAGTTGGTTATCCTGAAGCAGTTGGTTGATGAGAACCCTGAGCTCCCCTTGTCTTTGAGATAAGTCTTGGATAAGAGCCATTTTCCCCAGCATCTGGGTTCTCATTGTATCCACCTCAGCTTGTAGACGTTTCAGCCGTTCGTCCTTATCGTCTTCAGGACTGTTCCTAACCAAAGTCCCCGTGAGGAGTGTTCTCAGCTCTTCCTGCCCCTTGGATAGATTTAGGAGGATTTCCCCGAACTGAGTCTCTTGAATATGAAGGTCCCGGTTGTCTTGTTGGGAAGCCATTGCTGAAATAAACAGCGAAGAAGGTAAGTGACATGTACAAAGGGTACCTGTAATGCAATGATATGTATGTATGCATGCAATGTTTTCAAGGATCTCGTGGGGTAAACAAGAAAAGTTGTTAGGATTTGAATTTCGTAGCTTGATTGAAGTAACTTCGTGTTGTTGAGAGTCCTTCTTCGAGAGTCAAAGCTCACCATATCGAGTGGGTCATAGCCCCTGACTCAAGTCATTAACCTTGGCTAGAGGAAAATAAATCCCCTTTGCCCCTTGCTAGACTTTTGATTCAGCATGACCTGCATCACGAACCCTTGAGATCCTTGAAATGGATTAGTCTTTATGCAGGATGCATGTAATGGTATGATGTTATGCTATGCATGGAGTGATGTAAGTAGGCCCTGTAATGAGTCCCAATTAAGGACTGTAAACAAAACCTGCAAGGAATCTGTGTTGTTAGATAACAAGTATGCAAGTAGTCAAGTTTGGAGGCACACAAGTCACACAAAGAGCCCTTAGAGTTTAGGCCAGCATGAAGTTTGGGGTACTACCCTCTTGAAGTTGGTGGGCTCAAAACCTGTCCTATCAAAAGTAACCGGGTTCTAAGGAGCTCAATATCATTGGGTTGTTTTCTATGTTCATTGTTTTGATTTAGCCACTGAACTGGCGATCAAAATATTCCAAGAAAACAACCCTCAATGAGTGTAGTATCGAGTATCTACCAACTTGGAACTGCACCAAAGTCAGTCATCTCACTACCCCTAAAGAGGCCAGGATGGTCAAGTAAGGTTCCTAAGGTCAGTTGATGCTTCACGAAACCACACGGCGGCCCCGTACTCTCCTTGACTTGACTCAAGGGTTACCGGTACTCACCAAAGTGCCACATCAATGTAGCAAACTGCTTCAACCGTGTCGGTATACCCCGCACAGTTCCCTCACAGTTTGTGGCTACTTTCTAAAAGGTATCCCCCAAATTCGGGTTAGGATCTATGAAACTCCAAGACCGGCCCACAATTTTAAAGCAAATAAATCAAGCAATTGAAAACAAATCAAGCAATTGAAAACATGATGATTGTAGTTCAAATGTGTTTGGTTAGTATTTTGTATGGATTGTGGAAACATCTTGAATTCTCCTTGAACCTTGTCTGGGTTTGAAAATAGCATGGTCGTAGACGCAGTCCGCAGTTAACATAAAATATCTCCACAATCCTTTTTTTTAAAAATAAAGTTGAATTTGAAATTAAGTTAATAAAAAATGCCAGTATTTGATGGGTTAGTTGTCTTAGAATTTTATGATGCAATATGGAAAAAAGGAGTTTAAATGCTTGAAAATATTTGATAAATAGAAAGAAAAACATGTATAGTAAGTTTTTAGAAAATATTTAATAAATAACTATTTTCTTATTATTAAAAATATGTTAAATATTTTTAATATTAATCTAATATTTATTCATTAATAATTTTATGACACAATGCACAAAATATTTTAATGCAATATGCTAAAAAAAGCATGATATTATAAAAATAAAATTAATTAAACAAAAAAATGAAAATAATTAATTAATGGTCAATATTGCACAGGGGGTGTAAATATGAAGTCAGGAGATGCATATATTAAGGGCTTAAGCCCAGAACCAATTCTGAACTCAAAAGATGCAGTGGGTGTATTTTTGAACTGTCTAGTAAATAAAGGGGTGTGGTTAGAATAAGTCTTGGCGTAGAATTGTATTTAGAAGGCCCAAAAAAAGCTCTGGGTGCATTTGAACATAATGTGGGAAGGCTCATGGTGTTATCGTGTGGCAATGGAATATGGCACGTGGATTTAGATGAAATGGTCAGCAAGCGCTGAGCCTGAGCCATTGATCTGAAGTATGTGAAACAAATGGTTTAGATCTAACGGACTGAGGGCATATGGAAAGCAAAGCACAAGTGACTGGTCAACAGTCACCTCATCCAGGGACTCTCAGGGAGCCACCTGGCGTGTATCCAAATACGGGGAGAGAATTATATAAGCGGAACTATGAGCTAAAGGCTCATTTTTCTCTTATTTCTTTGTCTCTCTCTCCATAAAATAACGCCAACCCCCTTATAAATTTATAGAGAGAGGATCTTTTCCTTCTCTCTAGAAATCTAGAGATTGCAAATCGTCTTGGCCAGCGGCGCCGCCAAGGGTTGTCCTGAACCACCCCTTGAACCACGTTGAAACCCAGTTCCCAGTTGATCTTCAACTGGAGAACTCATATATTCAACCTTCACCACCGTTTGGGTTCATAACCCCAACCCATATCTTCATGATTCGACCTTCAACAAAAACCCAGAAACGTAACCCAAACCCAGAAAATCCTTCATATATTCATCAAAACCCTACCCAGATCTTCATAATTTCAACAAAAGCTTAAGTTTTCAAAACAATCAAGAGCTTTGGTAGTGTGTAAGGGGTTAACAGAAGCAATGAAGAATCTCCAAGCGTCCTTTTTTCCATTTTCCAGTTTAGAATTAAGCTATTTATAAGGTATAGGTCTCAGTCAATTAGGAATTAGAATTAAGGTTGATTTGTTGTTATGAATCAATTAGGCCTTAGATTGATTCAAATCAAAGATTGAATTAGATTTAGATTTGATTTTGTTGTAATTTTAGAATCAGATTTTGTATAATTGAACGTATATGGACATGTTATTGTATAAACTCATGATTTAATCAATAAACGATTTGATTTATAATTCTATTTTAGTTTTTTATTTGATTCAAAAAGAAAATTAGATATCGGGTTTAGGTATCCTAGGGACGAAGAAAAAACGCGCAACTTTTGAGAATTAGGGTTAAACCCTAATGTTGACTTTAGTCAACAAATCCCCAATGATAATAATAAAAAAATAATAAACAAATAACTGAGTAATGTTGACCCTGAGTCAACCTTTCACTTATAAAAATAATAGAATATAATAATAATTGAATAAAAAATAATAATAATCAAACAATTATATGAAATATTGACTCCTGATCAACCTGCATAAACAAATATTTTTTGTACTAAGATAATATTGAATAATAAGATAATAATAATAGTCTGATAATAATAATAATATATGTAATATAATAATAACAATAATTATAACAATAATTATAACAATAACAATAATATTTCAAATAATACTACAAGGCTAGATGTTGACTTCGGCCAACCCTTCAACCTAATGGGCCTAAGAATTTAATGGATCTTTTGAAACTAAGCCCCTTTTTTTAAAGACAACACCCCCTTATTCTAATTTAACCCTATTGCATTCAAATGAATAATAACATGGCAATATAGGTTAGTAAAACCAAACATATAATAACACTAAAATAAAATAATAATAAAAATAACCTATTAAAAATAAATTGATTATTGACACCAGAGAGACAAATTTGGGGTATAACACCTTGGACATCACGATATTGAGGTATTTATAATTTCGTGGACATGGGTCCAGGTATCCCTAAGATACCACAACCACCCTGAAAGTGGGTAGTTAACTCTGAAATCCGAGGAACGTAGTTGAATCCCACAACCCTTAACGCAACGTTCTTTGGCCCAATACACATTTTACGCATGATTATGTGTTATGGACAGAGATACTAAGGTCTTGGACGACATATCCGGAGAAGGGACATCTTAATTGAAAGAGGGATGCTCGAAACCATAATAGGGTGACTTGGTAAGGACGATGGACTAAGTGTCTTCCTTTTGCACCACTCCCAAAGTATCTTTTAATTATACCATTATACCGTTCTAAACATACAGATCAACCTCTCTCCATTATACCGAAAGCTCAAATCTACCCTAGCGAACACTACTTTATCATTCACCAAAAAATAACTTTTATAAAAAAAATTAGAAAACAACCGTGGTAACAAATAATACTCTATTTTTTTAAAAAATAAACATAATATCTAAAAGGGGTATTTCTAATGCATCTTTATTACTAGTTTAATAATCTGTATAATTTCGTGCTGTCCTAAGTATTTAACATACCAAGGAATAATATAATTGTAGTAAGTAGAAAATGTGTCGGAACCCTAACTAGCTTTGACTTGGTTTTGGACTTTTGAACCACTATAAAACTCATGATTTGCTACTTAACTCTTCTCTCTTTCCGTTGTTCAACATACTACAAACATAATCATAAGAAAAGGAAACACTAAGATGAAGTTCATCTTCATTTTACTCTCAAGCCTTTTACTAGGATATCATCTCTTGGTTATGATTGTCCAAAGGGACACATCAACAATGGTTGTTTCAGGTAAAATAATTTTTTCCATTTGTTTATCTACTTTCCAAATATCAAACTAAACATTGCATGCTGTGATCTTTTCTATGAGAGTTTTTTTTTTTTTTTTTGGAAAGAGATACAAGAGATACTTCAACCCGTATAAAATCTGATAAATGACCGTATTTGCAGGCGGAAAATGGAACAAAAACAAGCTTGAGATAACTGAAATTACAGCCATATCGGTTCAAAAGGTCGGTTAACGCTCTCAAATATTAGCAAGATAATATTCATATCTTATAGTATTAATTATTTGCTAGAATAACATCTAATAAGAAAAATGAAAATAGAAACATAAATTACAAATAATGAATAAGAATTTTTGTTATGTAATTCGAACAAATGTGTTTACGTCTGTGACTACAGAGAAGATGTAGCTGAGTCTTATCATTTGAAATCGAATGAATTAGGGTTTGAGTGTTACAAATCATGTATAGTGTCCATGTATGCTCAACAATTTATAAGGTGATTATTAATTTTGTTTGATATTACTAATGATTATATCTATGATTAGGAACCTAATTTTGAGAGAACAATTGGAGCTTCTCATATGAGGAAGTTAGGGTTTGGAACTATCATGCATCATGAAGAAAAAAGTGTGGATTCTAAGAATATTGAAAAAGGACAAACTTCAAAGATTTCAGGTGCAATTCATTGTGATGGATCAGATTATAAAATTGTAAAATGTAGTAGTAAAGGGGAGAAAAATGTTAAACCAACAAGAAAGCTGAAAATGGATATTGGTTTTGTAGATTTCACTGATGATTATCATGGACCAAGGCATCACCTTCCAAAACATAACTAAGTGAAATGCATTTGTGAGTGATTTCATCAGTGTAGGAGTGGAAACTTTTTTGTATATCATAAGTATGTGTATATATACTTTGTGGCAATTAATTTCCTAGATTATGAAAATGGTCTTACAAGTATGCTACATATAGTTATGAAAGAAATATTTTATATAAATCTATTTCCATTCCACAGGTAAGGAGAGTGGTGGTTTGAAGAAGTCTTTCAGAAGCTTATTCCAATTACAAAAGAGTGATGTTCATGAGGTGATTTATTTTTAACATATTTCTCTTATTATAGTAAATAATTGATATAATTATTGAAACTTATATTCTTGAGTACAAAAATAACCCATTAGAAATATTTAAAGATCCTAATATTACTATTTTCAATACTAAAATAAGTTTTTTAGTATAAAAAAATCTTTTCTCATATGAAGTTTTTGTGTTGTTGTTTTTAATTATATTTCTAATTATTTACTAATTTTTTTTTGTATAGTTATTGTAATCTCTTTTTTCTATATCATTAATAAATAAATTCAATACAGGTTAATTTTTAAAAAAAGTTACAAAAAAATTTAATTCAATAAAATAAATTAAATCTAATTTATTTATATTATTTTTAATATTTTAAATAACAGTCAATCACGTAAATTAATACATATATTATGATACTGATTGTGGTCATTGCGGTCTGAATTAACGGTAAGAGACCAGATTTTAAACCTTGATTGTTCCCTAAAATGATATATATTGTGAGAAAAATGAAATATTATTTCTAACTTCATTAAAATTCAAACAAACAGAAGCATATGATAATGAAGCCAAAGCTACATTTGAAAGTCACCACCAAGGTTGCAATTTCAAGGAATAGTCTCACAACCCACACAAACACCAAGTGTTCAAAAGATTGTGATGATGCTGTACCAATTAAGGGTAGCTCAGAGGATTCATCAAGGCATGAACAAGAAATTTCTAAAGAAGCTCAAGATGATATTGATGCTGCAAAAGAGATTGAAAGCCTCATGTATAAAGATTATAATAATAAGGGAAAGCCATCACATAGGCCACCCATCAATAATCATGAACCTAATAATCCTTAGTGTTATGTTATTTCAGGTTCATATTCAATTTTGTACCAAATTGCTAGCAACTTATAGTAATCTAATCCCCTAGATATTTAATATAGTATAGTAGTTTTTTTTTTTTTCATGTGTCAATTGAATATGTTTTTTAATTTGATTTTAAAGATATATATGTAGAACTCATGCAGTTTCAGTATTGTATATTAACTATATTATATCTTTATAGCATCTTTATTACAAATAAGTGAAATGTGATTTTGAATTTTGAAGTAATATATTTAATTTTATCAATCAACTTTGAAGATATATAATAAGCTGACTCCTATATTTAATGTCTTAAAGATTTTTGGTAGAATAAGTATGTCAGCTTTAATGGAAGAAGTATTCTAATTAACTTTGTGTTAAGAAGGATAGCCATTTAACCTTTCTTATATGATAATTTCATTAAATGCGTGGAATATGATTTTTATGTGATGTGTGAGTAATTTTAAAGTTTTGATGATAACAAATGATAAAGAGAATAAATTATAAGCATCATCAATCAAGAAGCAAATACAAATCAAAATGCTCAAAATTTCAATTGAAATAGTTAATCAAAATTAAAACAAGAAAGAACTAAAGTCATAAAAGTTTGTATCATCTTGTGCTTAGTGTTGATTTTTATGTGATGCGTGGGTAATTTTAAAATTTTGATGATAACAACCGATAAAGAGAATAAATCATAAGCATCATCAATCAAGAAGCAAATACAAATCAAAATGCTCAAAATTTCAATTGAAATAGTTAATCAAAATTAAAACAAGAAAGAACTAAAGTCATAAAAGTTTGTATGATCTTGTGCTTAGTGTTGATTTTTATGTGATGCGTGGGTAATTTTAAAATTTTGATGATAACAACCGATAAAGAGAATAAATCATAAGCATCATCAATCAAGAAGCAAATACAAATCAAAATGCTCAAAATTTTAATTGAAATAGTTAATCAAAATTTAAAACAAGAAAGAACTAAAGTCATAAAAGTTTGTATCATCTTGTGCTTAGTGTTTTATCTTGTAATTTGATTAGTTAAATGTAAACGGAGCAACACTAAATTTTGTAGTACTAAGTTAATGCGTGCACACGCACAAACACACACAAACCTAACAAGAACTTAATTTATTAAGAATATTTCTAATCAATTAAGGAAGTAAAACTCAATTGTTTAATAGATTAGGACTTTTAATCTATTTAATTAGAGCAAGAGTGCACCTCTTAATCGATTATATAAGCTTGTTAATCAATTAAGTGATATCGAAAATTAGGGTTTCCTATTATAGCATAACTTAATCGATTAGACATGTGTTCTAATCGATTAGAAAGCGTTAAAGCTCATGAATTGTTGCCTTTTAAACCAAATATTTTCCTATATAAAAGAGGATTTTCCTTACTTCTCAACACACATGTTTTCTGAATAATCATCTCTTCTATCTCTCATACTCTCCTTATTTTATAAGTTTTATTCACTAGTCACTGTCTTAGTGCTAAGAGAGTGACAAAATTTATCTGAGAGTTGTGTTGTTATACTATCGTGCTGAATTTAGCTATTGAAGAGCTTAGTTCTCTTTGTAATTTTTTAATATATTTGAAGGTTGCGAGCTAAAATTTTAAAATATTTGGTTTAAGGTTGTTGGGTTAAACCTAGGAAAAATCTCAAGGTATTTACGTAAGGTTGTTAGGATGATCTACGCAAAAGGTCAAATTATTTAAGGTTGTTGGATTAATCCTGTGTAAATGTTCAAGTTGGTTTTAGTGGAAATCTCAAGAAAAAACTCTTGGATACTAGAGTAGACAATTTGATTTAAGGTTGAACTAAGATAATCTATGGTGTGATCTTTCCTACCTTATCTATTTACATCTTTATCATTTATCTTTTCTACTGTCTATTCTCGACTTATCCTCTGCTTTTAATATAAATTGTTTAAATCAATTGTTTTTGTAAACATGCATTCTCTCAAAAAATAAAAAGAAAAGAGTTTTTCATTGTGAAATAGAGATAACACATATATCCTGAGATTCTGAGCGAATTAGAATTCAATCTTTTCATTGCTCTTAGAGAAATATTCTTTTTTGGTTTTTCTCTTGATTTTGTTCAAATTAGATTCTAGATACTTTGAAAAGACTTAAATATACTTTTGATCCACTTCAATTTTACTCCTTGAGATTTTTATAGTCCCCCTTTAATTTTGCATGTGTCCTCCTCATTTATGACGTGGCAGTTTGACTGTGGTGTCAGGTCATTATTTTTTACTTTGTTTTAAAATAAATGAATATTTAAAAAAACATTTAATACAATTAAAATTATTTTTATACATTTATTTAAGGTAAAATATTTCTGAAAATTAATCTTTTTTACTTTTCTAGATTCACCTTCCCTCATTCATGTTCTTCATACCTTAATCCTCTTCGCACATTCTTCTCACAATTTCTTCACACCTTGATTGTAAGATATCATAATAGTCAGTTTTCACCCATGGAAATAGATCAAATTGTTTGATGTACGAATTCAAGTGTGACCTTGATGTTCCATTAATAACGACATGGACGGATACGACTCAGGTTGCCGTTTTTATGAATGTGAGATGTATAAGGTATGTTTTAATTTATGCACTTCTTTGATGTTGTTATGTTTTACCCATGTCACGATTTGTCATTTATTCATATTCTTTCATCTTCATTCAAGTTTCAAGGTTACAAGTAGGGCTGAAAATGAGTCGAGTCGAGTCTAACTCGCTTGAGCTCAGTTCGAATCGTTAAGAATTAGCCGAGTTCGAGTTCGAGTTCATCACAAACTTTTTTTTCAGCTCAAACTCGACTCGTTAAGAATTGGCCGAGTTCAAGTTCGAGTTTGAGTTTATCACAAACTTTTTTCCAGCTCAAACTCGAGTTGTTAGAATAATCTTATTTAAAACAATCTTATTTATCCTTATTGTATTCATAAGAATTATAGACAATATTTCTATCTTTCATATAATATAAGTTTCATCTCAAAATATATTTGTAATTCGAGATATTATCATCAAAAGTAGGTAATATGGGCAAATAATGAAATGTTATAACTTAACTTTGTAACATATATTTGACTATGTTGAATTTAGATTTTTTTAATCAATAGAATTGTAAATTATTTTATCATCTTTCAAATGATATAAATAAATATGAAAACTAAGTATTGATGTCTTCATGAAACTTATATATCGAGTCAGTTCATGAACCAAGTGAGTCGAGCTATACATAGCTCAAGTTCAACTTATTTATTTTACGAACTTAATTTTGAGCTCAAGTTTGACTCTTTTTGTTCATGAAACAAGTCCAACGAATTAATTACTGAATTGAATCTCGAACTATTTTCAAATTGGTTTGGTTTATTTCCAGCCCTAGTTACAAGAAATGTAGCCATTTTGTCTGGTTGGATGACGAGATTGTTAGTTCTCTTGTTTTAGGATTGACTTAATTTTTGTAAAACAAATAATAGCAACAATAATGTAATGTATAATAGGATATATGAACTTGCTAAGAAGAACAGATACAACAAGAAGTCCTATTACAATGTCAGAATATGTTGTGTTGAACTTTTTAACAACTGGAACAGTATGACAAAGAAGATGTCTTGACATCGCGCCTGTTGAGCTGGATTAATGAGATTCAGTTTGTTCTTAACATAAGCAAAATATTCAGGATAATATTATGCATCCTATGTGGAGCATATTTAAAGGTCTAGAAAATTCAATCAGAAATCAAGGAGAATGAAGACTTTCTAAATAAGGAGATTATTTAGGAAAGAAAAGATTGAAGACCTTTCTTGGGGTAGAAGTTTCTGCAGTTTGTTACAGCTGATTTGCTGTGATTGAAAGCTCAAAACTAGTTGGGTAACAGATTATAAATAGAAGGGTTTTTAACCTAAAAAAAGATACGGCTCAAGATGTAGAATTCTAAGGGTTTTGTCAAGGTAAACCTCCCGGGCTGTGGGAAGGTTACCATGTTCATCTCGAAGCCTGTAGGTAAGAGATGCATTGTTCCTGGAGGAAGCTTTAAAGCAACTCCAGGATGTGTTAGGACCAAATCTAACAAATAGTGGAGTTTGGCTTAGAGACTTAGCTAGGTAGTCATGAAAGTATGTCTTCCAAACTGTTTATCCGTGTGATCAGAATCTTGGTGAAGGGCCGTCTATGCAGTGACTGAGATGTTGACTACTAGACATCATTGTGATGATTGGAAGTGAGGTAGGGATATTCCATATCTAGGGAGGATCTAGGTAGAAGGGTCATTGGGTAGTGATTAAGTGCGTAGATCGTCAACGGGTGTGTTGGCTGTAGGGTCTGCAAATTGATACTATTGATAGTGGACTTCATTCTTGGCTTGGTAGCCCCCAGAGTAGATGTTGTTATACACTGAACTGGGTAAACAATTCTGGTGTGTTCTTTATCTTTTTAGTATTGTTTTACCTTGCCTGTGTGTTTATGTCAGATTAGATGTCTCGACATCCTTGTAGGACATCTGAGTCTGATGTGCCAGAATTTCAAATGGTATCAGAGCAGGCATCCTGTTCTGTTTTGGGTGAGATCTTGGGAAGATACTTTCTGGTCATGGGCAAGGAAGAAAGTATTTACTGAAAAGAGATATGAACTTGGAAAATTCATACTATTGTATGGATGAGATCTTGGCAAGGATCATTGGTTATATATGACAGGTAGTGTTCTTGGGTGTTGCCATCAGGCCAGCAACTTAGTGGGAAGCGGCTGTTTGTAGGGTTTTTTTAATCCTAGGTTGTCATGCTTGTACTTGGATAGTGGTGTGTCTGAATATTGTTGAGGAGTTCGTTATATTCCGCTGCATATAACCCTGTGTGATACGGTGGCAGAACCGACTGTTTTGACGCTGGTTTGCATTTTGCGTTTTGTGTTTGCAAAATGTCACGGTAAGCAAGAGTCGCCACTAAATTTTATTTCATCCAACCGGAAAGGAAAAAAGTACAGAAAAAAA